TATTTCCAGCAGCGGAGGCGAGGGTGGGGGGTGGGGGGTGGGGGGGTGGAGGATGTCATGGGATGAAGGGCCCTTGGGGTGAAGGGCCGGCAGAGGACCAGGGTATACTGAGGAGGGGAGAGGGCAAGAGCAGTGCCTCCAACCTCCCTCGCCGTTGCAGGAAGAACTGGAAGGAGCTAGACAGCAAGGGTGGAGTCTGTGAGGTGAGTTCAGGTCAAGCCTTTCACCCTAATGTGCCTCAGTTCTCTCCCAGCTGTTAAACAGGACTCGGGATTCTTCCCAGGCAGTTAATGAGTGTTTACCAAAGGGCTTGGAGCTCCTCAGATCTCAGCTGGGCCACCACTACAGTTATAAACCTCAATGAGGGTTGAGTGTTATTTGGGGAGGGGAGGAGCAGGGGAAGAGGGGCACAGACTCCTCTCTCACAAGCCGAGGATGAAACCAAGCTCCGGGAGAAGCCCAGGCCTAGCTGCCACAGGATATCCTTGTACCCAGGAATGGAGGTCACCCTCCCCGCCCCCACCTAACCACCACTGAACGCTGGCCTCCAGCTAGCTGTAGGCAGTACCCAGCCGGGCAGCTGGCCTTCATTAACTCCAGCTTTTTCGCCCCCCACTGTGAACCCACAGCTTCTACAGGCCTAGGCTACAGGGGCCTGCCCTAGTCTGACCTTGCAGCTGACACTGGGGTGGGGGTACCTCAGCAAAGGCCAAGTTACCAGCTGAAAAGAAAGTCAAGCGAGACTCCTTTTTTTTTCCCCACTGGGAGCAAGCAGAGAGGAAAAGGAGTGTGGGGGTGAGAGGGTGGAGGTGGGGGAAATTTAGGGCAAACAGCAGGCAGTGAAGTCAGCTGGATGGAGGCCCAGAAACCCCCACACCCTGAGGCCAAGTCTTACTCTAGCTTTGCTTTCAGCTAGAGTCTTGGCGAGGCCCCAAACTAGGGAAGGCCCTGGCTGCCCCTTTCCGCCTCCCTGCCCCCACCCTTATTAAATACACATTTTATCTCTCAGCATCTTCATTATCTTAACTGAAGGAGACAAGCAGAGGATGGCGGCAGCAGAGAGCGTCAGGGGAGGGGGGGTGTGGGGAGCAGGCGCACCCTGGTTACAAAGTGCTGATCTGGCTCTTTCAGGCAGTGTGGGAAACAGAGGAGGGATCAAAGCCGAGTGAGGCTGATTCAGAACTCAATTAGAAATAAAAAAAAAAAAAAATTTAAAAAAACGAAACAACACTGGGAGCTGGCTCTTTTGCCAGCCTTTAGCCTTTCCCGGTTCCTTGCACCCAATTAGCTTCTACTGGCAGTGCCTGAACTGGTGGAGTTGGAATACGAGACCAGAGGACACACGTATGCCCCATTCACCTTCCTCTGTAGAGGGGAAGACACCAGGAGGGAACTGAGATAACATTGCCCACAAAACTAAAACGTAGGGCACCAGAGGTGGGTTCCGCCCCAGTCCCTTAGAGGCAGTTTTCTGGGGTCGTGAGGTAGCTTCTTGAAGGACCCATTTCTCTTCCTGGCCTGTGGGCAAGTCTCCACCCGTAGCTGAAGCCTCCCTGAAGGGACAGAGGTTGCCTGAAGCAATTACCAAGGACTGGTGTCTGGGCCCAGTGCAGGGCGTGCAACCAGGGTGTGCAACCGGGGAAGAGGAGGGCCTTTCACAGGGGCCCGGCTCACCTGAGTGCACCAGGCAGTGGACCAATGTTTTACCTCCAGCTGAGAGGCTGTTTTCAAGATGCAGGGAAGGCAGTATCTTCCCTGTATTGTTCACCGAATAGTAGTTAATGAATAGCTACCAGAGTAAGTGCTGGGGACTGGATACAAATGTAAATAAAATCTCAAGCTCAGGGTTGGACCACCTACACTATAAATAACCAAAGCAAAAACAAACAAACAAAACATTTAGGCTTTTCTCTCTCACAGTCCAGCTATTTTTGCACTGTTAGGCTAAAGGTCAACTGTAGGTGTTATTTCTCAGGAGCCATCAGGCTTGTTTTTTTCACATCAGGGGTAGGTCTCTTACTTGAATTGACCAAGCAGAAGCTGGCCAGCCAACAGGCCTCAGGGACCTACCTGTCTCAACCTCTCCAGGGCTGGAATTAAAATACTTGTGTGTGAATGTGTGGCAGGGCATCCTGGAGGTTGAGTTTGGGTTCACAGCAAGCACTTTCCTGTCCCAGCCCTGGTCAAGGTATTTCTATATACTGGTATTTCAGTTACTGGTCCTTATCATGTCTTTCCTTTCCTACCCCAGCACTGAGGGCCCTATGCCTATCAGACAAGCATGTTAGCTCTCTTTGTATGTGTGTGTGTGTGTGTTTTTTGAGACAGGGTTTCTCTGTGTAGCCTTGGCTGTCCTGGACTTGCTTTGTAAAGCAGGCTGGACTTGAACTCAGAGATCCTCTTGCTTCTGCCTCCATGAGTGCTGGGATTACAGGGGTGCGCTACCTCGCCCGGCTCGCTCTTAACTTCTGACAGAATTTGATTAAATTGTTCAGACTGGCTTTGAACACTGCTGCTCAGGTAGACCTTCAACTTGTGGTCTGTCCTCCTGCATGACTGGCACTGCAGGCCCATACCACAAGGTCCAGTTTATTGTGTATCTTCAGAGGCTGGGAGGGCCGGGCAACAGTTCCGTGGTAAAGTTCCTGTACTGGGGGTGGAGGTGGGGCAAGGAGCAATGGAAAGGGGGGGAAGGCAAGAGGAACAGCCAAGTTTTCTGATTTCTGGGTAGCTAGCCGGGACCTCACACACTCTGGAGTCATCTAGCCACAGGCGAGAGTCTTCATTGAGCCAGAAATGTCCGATGGATCTTGGGGTTGGAATTCATACCAACTTTATTGAGTCTATAGTCTTTCCATAGCAATACCCAACACTATGGAAGCCTAATTTGGTTCTTAAAATAATAATAAAATTAAAGAGACAGATCAGGATATAGACACACAGACACACATACCCCGTCTTCAAAAGGAGAAAATGTAGGTCAGCATCTTTGCCACTACTCCATGTGGCCTAAGATGCTGGCAAAAACTCGTAACCACAGGCCCATCCCATCCTACTTAAACTCCCACCACCTTCCCATAGCTCTCAGCTTCACTGAGAAAAACCGGCGAGGAAAGGGCTCTCTTCCTCTCTGCCCTGGCTGTCTGAATTACACTTAAGGCTTTACTGACAAACATACATCAGCCTCTGCTCCCACAAGGGCAGCGGAAGCCGGGCAGGGACTGTAAGTCTGCTTCACGCATCATTGACAGAACCAACCCTGTTCCAATTGCTGAAGTCTTAAGAGCAGCAATGACCTAGAAATTGGCAGTGGGGGAAGAGCTGAAGGAAACTAACAAAACAGCACACAGAAAGCCCGATTTTGAAATACGGGGATGGCAGAGGGGAAGGGGAGAGAAAGAGGTAGAGGGGAAGGAACTTGGCCCCCTTGCAAAGGCAAGCTTGGCTAGAAGCCAGGGAGGATGCGGGCCGGCGCAGCCCCACCGAGAGTCAAGCCGTGTTCCAGACTCCAGCCCCACAGTTAGAGGAAGGCGCCAAGCCTCAAATACAACGAGGTGGGGAGGCCACTCCTTTTTGGGCAGGATCCTACTGTGGACACAGAACAGACAGCAGCTGCCCACAGTGTGGAAACAAACTGTAAAGCAGTCACGTCTCTTAAGGCTGCAGCATCCAATAAAATGTAATTTAAATCAAGCCTCACATCTGTTCTCAATCCCATTCAGTCTCTGCTTTCCATCAGTCTTTGGACAATCTTTACAATTATGCTCCTTAACCCTTGTAGTCCCGGGACACTTTCCACAACTTCTTGGTAGAGAACTGCCTTCTCCGTTTGCACACTGTCCCAGTGGGAATGAAAGCTGTGGTGAGGGAGTGTGCATTTCAGAGGGCTCCCCGCCCTTCCACCCCATCCCATACCACCTGCTGTAGCGCAGATCACCTTACAAGGATACAGTGAACAGAATGAATGAGACAATGGCCCACAGATCTGTAGGCATATCAAATCTCAAACTCAAGGCCCGATCAGACAAGGAGGAAGCAGCCTTGCTCAGAGAAAAGCAAAGGCTCAGACCTTTCATAACCACGCACGACTTGTTTGCAAGCATTCCCAGGTAGTAAAGGAACAGCAGCCACCGACAAGTCAGACTCAGGCACCTTCCCTCAAAACCAGCCTGGCCCAGCCCACACTTTCAAAGCAGTGTTATAATGGTGCCCTCTGGTGTCCCCATCATAAATTGCCACTTAATGCCACTGGAAATCCAACCCTGAAGTCTCAGTAACCGTACGGATGAACTTATCTTAAGGACTGGAATAATGTACTCAGATGAAAATCCAAGCCTGAACCGGGTCATATTGGAACAACGGCTTCACCTGAGGCAAGCAAATGCTGGGACAGCACGAGAAGGCATTTCCATTTGTTTGTTTCACTATATAGCCCAGGCTGTCGTGGAATTCCCAGGCTGGCCCTGAACTCACAGAGATCCACCTGCCTCTGCCTTCAGAGTGCTGGGATTAAAGGCCTGTGTGACAACCTCCTGGCAAGAAGGGATTTTTGCATTAACCTCTGCAAGCTTAAGCTCTCATGGAATGTGACTGCTTCAAACGACAACAAAGGGAGCCCAACGCAATGGTTCAAAGAGTAAAGGCGCCTGCTGCCAAGTTTGATGAAGAGTTCCGTCCCTGGGATCCACAGTGTAGAAGGTAAATAAAGAATGGCTCCTGCAGTTGCTGCCATGTTAACAAGACAACAAATGCGACGCAAATGAAACCTAGAAATAAATATATTCACAATCTATAGTTACATTCCCCTTTCACCCCCATACTGGTTGGGAGCACTGGAGAAACACCAGTCTTAAAAGTCCAGTGCAGTAGCACGTGTCACATGAATGTAGAATTCTTTGAACAAAAGGTCCTTCAAATTTCCACGTCAGCTTGTACATTTTCCTGGATCAATCCACTTCATCCTTCTAAACGTCTAAGTTCTTTACAGAGTATACTGTTTGCAGGCAGAAGTGAATACATACAAACTCTTCAACACAAGTCTGCATACACTTGCAGGCACACCGGTTAGGAATGTCAGTGGTCACGGTACTGAATAATCACTTTTAAAAGGAGGGAGTCATTGGTTTTGCTTTTAAGAAGAGTATCATGTGGTCCAGGCCAACCCCAAACTCACCACGTAGCAAAGGATGGATGGCCTCGAATTCCTGAGACCTGTGCCTCTCTTTCCCAAGTGCTGGACTCACAGGCCTACGTCATCACACCCAGCCATTTGGCCACTTTTATGGGTAAAAACGCTGAAGAGCCAAAGATGTTAGCCAGTGCTAACACTCATGAATCCATTCATTAAAATTTACTGGTGCGGAGTAAAAAAGGTGGCAATTGTTTCCAAATGACCCTATTAAAAAGAAGACTCCCTCGCCTGCCAAATGCCAGCTGGACACTTGCAGGTGTAGTCAGAGAACCATTCAGGGCAGACCAGCAGCAAGGATGTTACCAAGGAAAGCTTTGCCTTTCAGGACATGCTCTATTTCCTTCTCTTCAATCTTCAGGGACACCTGGAAAGAGAAAAGGACTTTTCATGACGAGGAACATGTGCACGCGCACGGGCACCCGTCATCACACCTCCCATCGCACGCCGCTTTCCCCAGACCAGCGAGTCAACCGCGGCCGGCGGCGGCCCGAATCACACCGTTCCAGCCTCACACCTTAAACCCCTAGCTGGCAGAAAAGAGAAACTGTTCAGTAGTCACTCCCGATCTTCACTTTGGCAAAGGACGCGCTCTCCAAAACAGGACAATTAAAAGAGGGGACACACAGACTCACACACACACAAGGCCGTTACTTGTACCTTGGTGAGGCGGCTCTCCTTATTTTTCTTTAATCCTAAAATGCCTCTGGACTCCAGCAGTCCTGAAAGGGACAAACACTCAGACTGGTCCACAGCTGCCACCTGCTGTTTGCGACAGACACTACTGTAGGCTTCGTATAACTGGGAGGAAATGAAGGGGGAACAAGTGTCATTTAAAAGCCACACCTCAGAACCAGAACCTTATAGATTAAACACACACACAGTAAGGCCAGGAACCCTGTCTTAAGTTATCTGAATATCCCATTTCCCTCAAGTAGGCAATAACCTTCTGCAGCCCCTCTTACACTTTCTGATAATTTTTTTCTAAGATTTATTTCTATGTTGGGTGTTTTGCTGGCATGTACTTATGTATATGCACCATATTCATGCCCGTTTGCCCACAGAGAGCAGAAGAGCCAAAGTTACAGATGGTTGTGAGCCACCGTGTGAGTGTTGGGAATGGAACCCGGGTCTTGACTGCTGAGTCGTCTTACTTTAATGTAGAATGTAGGAACAGAGCTTTACGTAAGTTCAGAGGGAAACACAGAAACGAAGGGAAAAATGGATTGCTATGTAGCCCTGGATGGCAATCCTCCTGGCTTTGCCTCCTAAGTACTAGGATGTTATTGTGCCACTATATCTGGTTAATGGTTAACTCCATTTTTTAATTTTTAGAGGCTGGTGGTGAGACACAGCTTTTCTATAGTCCTGGCTGTCCTGGAGTTAGGGGTCACCCAGCCTCTGCCTCCCAGAGTTTTGGGGTTAAAGGCATCGCACCACAGTACCTGGCCTTAATTCATGTTTTTGAGACACAGTCTCACTATGTAGCCCTGGTTGGCCTAGAACTCACTATGTAGACCAGGCTGGTTCAAATGTGCAAAGATCCACATGTCTTCTAAAGGCAGTGATCCTAACATTTATGTTTACTGATAAAACCAGATTTTTAACCAAAAGACAGGTCTTTTGGAAAATAGCTGCATTTTAGCCTCAGCTCCACCTGCTGGGACTCCATCTTACCTTCCCCAGAGTGACCTCTTTGATTTTCAGCCGCCTGGTCAAGAGCAGCAAAGAGCAAACCAAGATCTTCTGCTGAAGAGGGAGGGAATCTTGGGTTTTCTCTTGGTTCAAAGTCACCCTGTTAACATCCACCTCCGAAATGACTTGGGATATGTGAGCAAGACTAACACACTTGGGTACCAGCGACTCGGAGGGTGATTTACCTGCAAAGTGAGTAAGCCAAGCTCAATCAGATTTCTTTTTTGTATTAATTTTTCCCCAAGACAGGGTTTCTCTTTCTGAAGTCCTGGCTGTCTTCCAACTCACTCTGTAGACCAGGCTGGCCTCGAACCCAGATACCCCCTGCTGGGATTGAAGGAGTGTGCTACCACCCAGCACCTTATTTTGATTTCTGATATATCGCCTGTATATGTGTGGAGACACATAATGCACGTTTTAGCTAAAAGATACCCACATGCTCTCGTGTAACGGCAAAGCAGAGGTTCTACCTATCAAGTAGAAGACCAGGGGAAAAAAACAGTTCCAGACGATAGGAGATCTATCTTTTCCTTTAGCGTATAGTTTAATGTTGAGAAAGAGACTAATCTGCCCCCTGGATGAGCAAGAACTGGACAGAAGCCACCAAACACGGCTAACTGCCTCAGAGGTTGGCTGGGGACGAAAGCATGGTGCTACGGCACTTGACTTGTGCACGCAAAGCCCCTTGTTTGACTAACCCCCAGCACAAAACCCTGAAGCAGAGACAACTGCCTGGCAACCAAAAAAGGATAAGAAAGTTGGGAGAAATTATCTAATACTTTGAGTCCGATGAGTGGGTTAAGTATGGACGGGTAAAGTCAAGCCCACCTTGGCCCCCATGTCCCAGATGTGGGCTTCCCCAAATGACCTCTGAAGCTTGTTCACTTGTCCCGATTGATCTGTGGGACAGCAACACTTGAGAACATGTTACTGGGGAGCCTGGCAGATAGGACCTCCCCGGAGCTGGAGGCTGGGAACTAGGGAGAACGCACAGGTCCAGGGCCCCGCTGCTTGGAGAAGCACGACTGTGCTATAGAGGAGGGATCTGCTCTTGGACAAGCTATGCCGCAGTCACTTCCTGAGACCATCTGCAGTTGCCTCACCGCAATCTGCCCCTATTGCCTTACCACAAGCAGGAAGCTGCAGGGGGCTAACCGAGAGACCAGAGCTCACAGACCGGGGAGCAGAAGTTCCACGATGAAAGGAGCTTGGAAGCCTACCCCACCCCCTGCATAAAGCCAGGTCCCTTCTACCGCCCCCCCCCCCCCACCCATTCGGTTTTTTCTGTTGTTTCAAAGTTTAATGGAGTCTCTCTATGTAGCCTGAGCTGGCCTTGAACTCGAAGCGTTCTTCCTGCTTCGGCCTACTGAGTGTTGGGATCACAGGTACGGCCCACCACGGTTGGTATCTGGCCAGCTTTTGTTTGCCCATCTCCAATGCTGGGAAACCTAGTTATTTCTACGTATTAGAAAAATCCTCATATTTAGTTGAAATCACTGCCTCTGTGGTTTTTTTATATGGCTAGGCTGTTGAAACTAACCCCATTCATATCAGAAGTAAAAGACAGAAATTAGGTCAATCCCATCATTTACACCCGGAACTTGGAGCTCTTTGAGCAGTGCGCACTAGTGGCGATCCCAGCACCAGTGACAAGCCAATGTTTTATGCTAGGGCAGAGGAGCCAGGAAGGAAGGAAAAATCAAAAAAGAGACAGAGAAAATGATCTAAGTCTGTTGGCACACACTGCCTACTCACAGCCCAAGCACTAGTTCAGGCTACCTCGGAAACCTTTTAAATTGTTTCTTTTAATAAATACTGATGAAAAGGAGAAAGCGTTCTATGTCGAACTCCCGACCAGTACAGAAAAATGAAGGAAGAAACAAGTTAGAACACCCTGTTTTCTAAAGATGAACACTGGTAAGTTCATAGCCCATGACATCTGCCAGTGAAGAAAACAGGGCTGAGGAAAAGGGAAATCAACCTCACTTGTGACGGCCTCTGGTTTCCTGCAGTCACAGGACCTTGGTGCTCTGCCCTCACAGGCTGCCTGGAGATGAACTCCCGATCTGCCCATCTTTTTGCTTCCTCTCCTTTATTTACCAGACATTACCTTCTCCTACATAAAGACCCAAAGTGCGCTTAACATAAGTTCTCAGAAGGCGGCTCAACCTTGCAGTCTCATTTTTATTCCAAGAGCCAAAACCTTACTACTTGAGTCCCTACCGTTTATGAAGAGTCCCAGGACCTCATTTCCCGTAACACACAGCCTGACTCTGGCAGACAAGACAGAAATACTCTAGAAGAAACGACACCCTGCTCGCTCCCTCTCCTAGGTGTCCAAGGGATGATTTAACCGTGCTCACTTCTCTTCCCTCCATTTGGAAAGGCAGACAGGAAGCAGGTAGGCTACTCACATTCAGACGGTGGCTTGAGGATGGTTTGGCTTTTCACATCCGACTCCACAATTTCAATAGCTCGCCTACAAAAAAAAAAAAAAAATTTCTAAAATTAATTTAGTCTGGGCCAAACCAAACACCACACCAAGCCACTGTGTCCAAAGGCAGGCACATTAACTAAAAACATGCTTTAAAAAAGTTAAGGTCCCTTTCAGTGGTTCCCAGCACCAACAGGCAGCTCTCAACCACCTGTAGCTCCAGATTTGATACCTTCTTCTGGCCTCCACAGGCACTGCACGCACATACACATACACACATACAAAGCTAGACATTGTGAGGGCCTGAAAATAAAGATTAAGGACTCTAAACAAACTGGGTTATGCTGTAGCTTAAGGGAGACTTACCTGCCTTTAAAATAAAATAAAAAAGATGAGAATCTGAGGAACCTCCTTTTACAGATGTCAAGTAGGGCTGTCACACACTGAGCCGGCAACATTTTAGATGAGGGAAATGTCATCGGTAGAAGGGATATGCAGTGTGGGGATGGCCTGAGGGATCTAACAGCACCCCCACACAGCAGACTCAAAAGGGGAGCCCTCAGATATACATAGGACACATGCAGGCTAATCTTGCTGGACTTCACGGCCATTACTCATCGCTGTAGTCTTCATTCAAGCAGTTTGCTGACTAGGGGGAACTTTCACATTCCAGATCCTGCAATCCAGCAACAGGAAGAGCTTCCTCTCCCACTGCTTTCTCTAAAGCGTTTTTGTCCACAGGGGGCCATGGGCAGACCTGGATCTTCTGCACCGCAATAGGGGGACGTTGGACCAGTGGGACAGCACAGTGAGGATCATTTTAATAGACCCAGTGCCCCTACTGGGAGGGAAAAACTTTCATCAGTCAGCACACAGGCTTTCCCCAGCAGGAGGGTGGAAGAGAGAAAGAGGTCTAGGGTAGGACTTGGGGACCACCAACTGGAAGGAGGAAGGGGTGCCCACAAAAGGAAAGGAAGAAGAAAGTCTAAAAAGCCAAAATGGTTCAGGTCCATAAATAAACCTGCTTGAGACCAGCGAGTGGAAAAGCAAACTGGAGTCTTTTTTAATACAAATGTAATTAACCAATCTATAATCACCGCAGGGAGCGCCAGCAACATCTCATTTGTTTCTCCCTCCGTAGGTAATGGACTGATAATGTTTCAGACATTAACACGGTGGAAACTCAGAGCTCCCCACTGAGAAACAAGTCCTCTTTTCTGAGCATAAAAAGTAGCAAGAACGGAGCCTCTTAAGTCACATTCATTTGAGTTACACCAGACAACTGACAGCACTTCCTCTTTTTTTTTTTTTTTAATAAAAACAGTCAATGGTGCCATAATTCACCTGCAAACATCCAGTGCTTTACGGATGTCTCCCGAAACGGCGGATACTTTGCGGGCACAGAACTGAATCGCGGCGCTGTCCAGAACCTGTTCTCTCGACACCTTCAGACAAGACCCAGAAGACATGAGTGAGTCAGGCCTAGTTACACGCAAGCCCATAATCCTAGCTACTGGGAGGCTGCGGCAGGTCCTCCCCAAGTCGAGGACAGTGAGACAAAGTCAAGTCGACACGGTGAGACTCTATCTCAAATAAATATAAATAAATACAAAACGAATACAGCGCAGGGTAGAGCTTTTACTTGAACAAGAGGCCTTATGAATCCCAGCACTGGCCATAAGTAAAGGATAAAAAGACAATCCGAACTCAGTTTCTCTTAGCAAGTTAGATTCTAAACATATAAACGCTTTCACAGAGTAAGTCTAATTTTGAGACTCGGAGTACACGCGCAGGGCTCTAAGCTCAACACTCAAAACTGCAAAGATCTGAACCCAACCGGCCACCTTTTAGGTCTAAGGAACACATTGGACAAATTTAAGAATTTTACAGCTACATGGCGTAGAGGTCCGTGAATGGAAGAAAAAAAAAGCAATTACTTCAAGTGTTTTTCCATGGGTCCTCTTTTTGTTTTTTTTGTTTTTGAGGCAGGGTCTCTCTCTATGTAGCCCTGACTGGCCTTGAACTCCCATCACTTGCTTCCTGAGTGCTGGGACTAAAGGCACACACCACTACACAGACGAAGCTCACAGGCCCTACTTTTTACTACATTTGTTTACTTCTGTTTGGAGTGAGGATGGGTACAACATGTGTGCCGAGGTCAGAGGACAGTTCCAGGTGTCAGCTCCCTCCCTCCACCGTGCGGATCTCAGGAGGACTTGAAGTCAGGTCATTAGAATTGGCAACCAGCGCCTCAACCTGCCAGGCCACGTCACTGGCCCAGGCCCTACCTTTTAAAGGCCATTAAGGAAGCATTTGAGTCCTCTAATTCCTACTTTTATTTCAACAGTGAAAGCAGCCAATAAATGGAACCGTGTGTAGAAACTCACATAAAAACGTTCTCACTCATTATGGTCCATGGGAGCCTGCCACACCATTAATAAAGCAATCAAATCGAGATATTTTAAACCCATTGTTAGCTTTCCATCACAGAGATTATCCCTGCAACAGAATTTGGCATGATGGTCGGCACCCACCTGATTAAGTCTATCCTGCAAGATTGTGGCGATCTGATTTCTGGTGTAAGGCGGGAAGTTCAATAGCTGTGGTTTACAGTTCTCTCTAGCTTGAAGTCTCGGCAGAATTCTGTCTGTGAGATCTAGGGTATTAGCAATACCTGAGAGGATAAAGAACAACTGCCATCAGCAGTCAAATCATCCTAAGAGGAAATTAAACGCTCTGAAACGTAAAATCCCCAGTCATAACCCAGTATTTCAACTGTTGCGTTCACTTGCCCTCCCCCACACTCTAAAAGATGGACCTTCTAGGTAAGACACAGTGCTTAGGCAGGTGTAATGAAACATGCTCACTGTCCGAACACACAGGAGACTGAGACAGGAGAATCAGGGGTTTGAGGCTACCCTGAGCTAGAGGCCTTGTCTCCAGGAAGAAAGGGCTGAGGAAAGAGGGTGGGTAGGCAGATTTCTGTTGAACTGCAGGCCAGCCAGGGCTGCAGTGAGACTCTGCCTCAAAAACAAATCTACCGGGCCACCCCTCTGATGCCAGCTCTTGGGACACAGGTTGATCTGAGTCCAAGGCCAGCCTGGTCTATAGAGCTAGTTCCAGGACAGCCAGGGCTATGCAGAGAAACCCTGACTTGAAAACAAAAACCAGAAAGCAAATCTATTGTTTCAAAATGCAGCATGATGTTCTTCTGAGTATGTATGTGATGAGAACCAAGCCAGGGGCTCTGCACATGCTCTACTAGCAACTCACACCACCCAGTACCTGTCACTTAGCATGACTATGTACATATTCATGTGTATGCACTTCTGCGTGAGTGTAGGAGGACCCGGAGTTGATGCCAGATGTTTTCCTCTAGGGTTTTCACCTTATTTTTAAAAACAATTTATTTTTATTTTATGTGCACTGACGTTTTGCCTGCATGTATGCCTGTGTGAGGATGTCAGATCCCCTGGAACTGGAGTTACAGACATGTGAGCTGCCATGTTGGTGCTGGGAATTGAACCTGGGCCTTCGGGAGACCAGCCAATGTTCTTAACCACTGGGCTATCTCTCCAGCCTTGCAACTTACTTTATTATTATTATTATTATTACTTTGAGACAGGGTCTCAGGTGCTTACCCAGCGAGCCTAACCCCAGTCTGGCAGATCAGACGCCCTCTTCTGGCCTCCATGGGTATCAGGTATGCAAGCACGGCAAAATACCCATGCACATGAAATAACAAAACAATAGGAAACCAACCTGCACAGGGACTGAGGAGAAGGCTCAGGGGACAAAACATCACCACAGAAGCATGAGGAGTGGTTAGGAAGCCAGGGTGGCCCGCCTGCAGTCAACAAGCTGGCTAGCTGGACTGAGTTAGCGAGCTCCAGGTTCATTTAAAAAAAAAAAAAAAAAAAGGCCTCTGATGTCAACCCCTGCACACACACACACTTTTCACACATAAGGAGTTTAAGCGATTAGTGACATTTCGAGTTCACCGTGTAACACTGAGAGCTGAGCACTCACCAATGAGCACCAACCGGGAATTGCTCAGCCACGGCCATTCAAACAGCGTGTACAGCACATCCTGCCCTCTGCTGTCCAGCTGGTCCATCTCGTCCAACACCAACACACTGCACACAGAGAGATAAAGAGCACCGGCCGCACTCTCAATCTTCTGACATCTGATCTGGGGCCTACCTTAGGCTGTTTGTCTTACAGTTATTGACAGACTGACCCCCCTTCCCCCCATCAGTAACACCTATCATCCAACGGTTTTCAAGGAACCAGCTCAAAAACAATTAAACTTTAAACCAGGCCTGGCAGCGATGACCCAGCACACAGGGATGCAGAGGCGGGTGTATCTCTTAGTCTGAGGCCAGCCTGGTCTACATACGGGGCTACTTCCAGGACCGCCAAGGCCACATGCGCGTGGTGCGCACACACAAAATCATAAAAAAAAAAAAAAAAGCCCCCCCCCCAACTCAAACCAACCAAATACATAAGCAATAAGCAAGCAAAAACAAACAAACCAAAACCAAAACCAAACCAAACCCAGCCGACTTTCACGGAGCAACATGCCGCAGAGAAATGCTTACATCATGGGGCCCTGAGCCGTCATATGCTTTTCCAGTTTTCTCATCAAGTCCTTCCCAGCCGGTCTGCACACTTCCTCCTGACCAATCTCCTGAGCGATGGCTGGGAACACTGCCTGGGCATTCCTCAAAGACATGCAATTCAGCATGACAGTTCTAAAGCCTTTCACTTCCTTCTAGGTGGAAAACAACAACAAAAAGATCTAAACACGGCAGTTATGCTGGCTTCAGGCAAAACTTTACTGAAAACCCGATCAGGTCTCTGAGAGCTAACAAGATACAAGAGCAAAGCTCTACTTTATCTATACCATGAAAACTTGTACTTTTAGGACACATTCACTCTCCTAACCATCTACTCTTCCTTAGCCCTTAAGAGTTAAAATTGTTGGGGCTGGAGAGACGGCTCAGTGGTAGCTGCTCTTCCAAAGTACAAGGGTTCAGAACATGGCGGCTCACGACTGTCTGTGTCTCTAGATCCAGGGGATCTAACATCCTCAAACAGACACACGCACACAAAACACCAATGGGCACATGCTATATATACATGAGCCAATTGCTGCAGCAATCACATCCATAATTCATGTTCTCACTGTACCTTGAAGTCTTGCAGAATCCGGCTTAAGCAGGCAGTTTTTCCAGTTCCAGGAGCGCCAGAGAGGTAGAGACTTCCAGCTTTTTTCCCACAGATGTGTTCCTTCAGGAAATCCCTGATGACACCCATCTCCTGCTCTCTGGCAGGCAGCCGGTCGGGGACAGCTGTACTCAGGACAAGCTTCGCCTGCTGGTAGCAAGTGCCTGTGCCAGACACCGAAGGACAGTTAAGACACGGCAGAAGGTGACCGGGTCTCACCAGAACCAGCAGGACGGTTCCCGATGGCCTCACCACCCGCTGCCACGTGAGGACTCACCATCCTGCTTGAACAGTCTTATGCAGGCAGAGTCCTTCTCCGCTGGATACGTCTGCTCGGAATCTGCTTCGCTCTCTTGACCTTTCTGAGCCGGGGAAGGTACCTGGCTTTGGTGAACCCTGTCTTGTTCTTTCTGGCTTGAAGACCTAACTGCCGGCTCATCCCCGAACACCAATCTGCACCCCTTCCGCGTACGTGAGCGAGGGGGGCCGTTTTCTTTCCTGCCTAGCTTTGGCGGGGAACACGGAGATAATCGAGGGGTGTTGCACAGGTTGTCGTCACCTGAAACGTTAAAGCAGGGCATGGTCATTCCCAGCGACGATGTCGGCCCCTAGAACACTCAACACAGGGTGTGGCCATTCTTCAGGAGGACAGGGAAAGAAACTGCAAAGACCCACACCCAGCAAGAGGTCCCAAATTCTTTCTTTCTTGTCTTCTGAGACAGGATTTCTCCACGGAGCCCTGGCTGTCCTGGAACTCAGTAGAGCAGGCTGGCCTCAAACTCAGACACCCCCTTGCTTCTCCCTCCTGGGCGCTGGGATTAAAGGCGTTCACCCCCACGGCCGCCTGAAGACTGGAAGACAGTTCTACCAGAGTCAGAACCACAAGACATGTCTCACCAAGGAGCAAATGTGGCCACTAGATGGCGCCATTGAACCTCATCCTCTGGTAAGAAACCAAGCGAGTTCTCGTGTTGAGTGGGTCTAAGGTTATTTTAAAAGTGGACTTGACCATTTTGGCACCACTGATACCTTGGGAAGAATGGCTCTCCTCCATAGGAAGCTGTTGCGTACACTGTCGGATGCCCAGCAGCACTGTCAGCTTCCACTGACTCACTGTTCTAATACCATCCCCTCAACCGTAATGGATTAAAATCTTCAGACATGGCCAAGTCCCCCAGCCCCACCCAGCTAACAACATAGTTCTCCTACTACCACACACAAGTATCTACCGATAACAACACGAAAGCTCCTAGACTGGGCACGTACAGCTAAGTGGCACAGCACTTCCTAGGTCTTGGGGTCGATCCCCAAAACCCAGCAGCAGCACCAACACACACACACACACACACACACACACAGGCAGACAAGCGTCATTGTGGGAGAAGGACCTCAAGTTTGGGGCAATCCCGGGCTACAAATTAAGTTCCAGGCCAGCCTGAGCTAGAGCTCTTTCCTCAAAAAAAACAAACTCAAAACAAACAATACCTCTAAAAATGGAAATGATTGTGAAACAAAAATCAAAAACATTAAGAATGTCATCTATTTGCTGCTGCTTTATTTTTTTTTTTCCGGGTTTTTCAGACAGGGTTTCCCTGTGTGGCCTTGACTGTCCTGGACTCACTTTGTAGGCCAGGCTGGCCTTGAACTCAGAGATCCGCCTGCCTCTGCCTCCTGAGTGCTGGGATTAAAGGTGTGCCCCACCACAGCCCAACTTTTTTGTTTCTTCACAAGCATGCAAGCAAATTTTCAGTTACTACGTGTAACTTCGAGGTAATTCTAAAAGGCAGAACTAGGGAAACGAAGATCAGCTCCCCCAGAAAATGATCTCTATTAGTGACTGGCTTATCTGCAAAGTCCAGCACACACTTGGCAGCCACTGTGAAAACAAATACAGCTACAGTTTTAACTGCCAGGAACCTCAGCATCGGGAAAAGAAAGGCTGAGGGCCTTTCTCAGTCACACACAGAGTTGCGCTCACAGAGGAAAACCTACCCAAACGTTTTCTGGGACTGAGGGGCAGAATTTTCGTGTCCACACATGGAGTGGAGGGTACAGCCTGGACGCTTTTAAGTCTTGCTTTACTGTCCCCGGAGTCTGTTTTGTTCAGTGTCTTAGCTAGCTTCTTTTTCGGAAAGCTGATGGTAGCTTGTGTCTGGGATCGGGTTTGAGGCATAGTGACCTCACACGAAAGATACAAAACGAGTCAGGAAAAGCCTGTAATATATGAAAGCAAAGACAAAAAACACAGAGCTTATATATACTGGTGACCAACGCTGACTTCGTAAATTATGTTAATATGGCGTTTCTAACATTTACTTCTGCTTCTCATCCAAATCTATGTAACTGGTAACGTCTGTCTGCAGAACATGCGGAAAATGACATCAGACACATATCACACGTCAGCCTTACAGTACCTCGGACGCAGAAACTATTAACCCTCTCTTAAACAGTCAAAAGAAAAACAGGTTATCACCCTAGACGTCCTGGGACCAGGAACCAAGGTCTTAAACCTGAGCGATGCCAGAAGTTTATGTCCAGTGATTCCTATGCAAGATCCTTCCTTCCCCCCAGGCGCGAGGGGCATCTTCAGCGCTAGTTTAAGTCAGACCATCACACTGAGGCTCTCCCAAGCCCGGGCAGCGCAGCCAGGTCCTCCTACGCCCGGGGTTAGCCCGCACTCCACACAGCTCCCGGCAGCTCCCTGCTCCATCCCACCCTCCATCCACCGCTCCATCCCACCCCTCCCGGCCCGAACCGCTTCCAGAGCGCACAGCCCCCTCCCGGAGCCGGCCTCAGACCTCGGACGATCTCCGCTCTCCACCGGCCTCGCTCGAACCAGCTCCGGGGGCCTCAGACCTTCCGAGGGCGATCCGCTGCTTTCCGCTCTTCAGGGCTGCGTCGCCCCAGGGCACGCTCCCCGGTCACAACCGCAAGGACTCTCCGGCCGCAAGACCCGGGGTCGCTGCACAGTCAGCTCGCGCCAAATCTGCAGGGCCTCGGCGTTCCCGTCTCGCGCCAAAGCCCATCCGCGCTCCCGATTGGTCGCCACCGATCACCACGCCCCCGCCGGTGACGGCAGGCAGCCAATAAGACAGCCCTAGGTCTCCGAGCCCGGCATGAAGCCCCACCCACTCGCCGGGGAGGGCGTTAACCTCGGAGACTTCCCAGGAAAGGCGCGCGCTGGAGACTCTTTGGGAGCGCACGTCACGCCGCAAGGCCTGGGCGGAAGTGTAGGGTTGTTTTTTTTGTTTTTTTCTTCCACTCACGTCTATTTCCGCATTTTTATTACTACTGGGGTATCTTTGTCCTCCCGTTCTGCCAAACATACTCATTCTACCGGGTTATCTTTGCCCCTCTTGTCTGCCAAACCTAACGTTTTCATTATTGCGGTGGGCTAGATTGGAAGACGGCTGCTACCTTTGTAGTCCTGCCATTTGGGAAGCGGCCCTGCATGGCAAGAAGCAAGTGAATGCCTCAGGTCACAGCGTCCTCGCCGGTGAGGGGCTGATGGCTTGAACCAGGGCCTTTGGGGGACCAATTTCTATACCTATATAAGCAAACTGACTATCTGTTGACTTGCGCTTCGAAAGTGAGAAACAAGTCCAACGCCAAACATAGGCTTTCAAGATAATATGTTCCATGTGCGTTCTTAATATTAGTCTATCTACACACTGCAGGGAATAAAATGATGTCTCTTCAATTTGACAATCTTTTATGGCCAAGCCCTAGGGTTTCGTGGCCAGGAAAGACAGTTATAGGAGAGGCAAGCTGAGCATTTAATGAAAAACATAAATTAGGGGAGTAATTTGCAGGCCAGGTTCCAAGGTTTAATAACCCACCTCAGGTTCTTTTAAAAGCCAGAACCCAACTCTACATTACGGTAAAAATTTATGGAATTTTTGTTTTGTTTTGTTCTTTTGTTTTTTGAGACAGGGTTTCGCTGCGAAACAGCTCTGGCTGTCCTTGAACTCACTATGTAGACCAGGCTGGCCTCAAACTCAGAGATCCATCTGCTGCTGTCTCCCAAGTTCTGGGCTCAAAGGAGTCTGCCATCGTACCTGTTTGTGAAATATGTTGTCTGTCCTCCAATATCAAACAAAACAGACATAAAGCTAGGAAGAGGAAAACAGTATCACAGTCATCAGTTAGCTCTTACTTCAAATAGGTGGCAAGAGCTGCTGGACTAGCATTTTCCTTCTATCGCCTTCCTCAGTGTGTACAAGCAGCCTAGGAAGTTGACAGGGAAACTAAAGCAGAGAGGACTCAGTAAGTTTGCCCGAGGTCGTAAAACCACTAAGTGGAAGAGCTGATATTTGCATTCTGAAGTCTGACAGAAGACTAAATTCTTGACTACGTAATCACGGAGGATTAGAGAGAAGTGGGTTCTAAACAGGACAAGATGGTGAAGGAGTATGTTTTGTGAGGGTTTCCCGCCGTGGATGTACATTCCTTTTTGTTTTGATCCCAGGTGTAGGATATGGGACTGATTCAGACTGTCCATAGCAGCAAAGTATCTGCTTCATGTGGGCTCTGAGCGGGGCTCTTTGCCAGCTGCAGATAGTTTTAACTCTGAGGAGCCTGAGAGGGAATAATAAATGCCAGAGCACAGAGTGTTGAGAGCATTGAGAAAGAAGGCTGCTGGTGCTCTCTCACGTGCGTGCACGCGCGCGAGCACACACACGCACACACGCACACACACGCACCTGCTGCTCCTGGTTGCTGTCGATGCAGTGTGACAAAAAGTTGGAGATCTCCTGGAAGGTTTGGAACCCGACAACACTAGCCAGCAGGAAGTAGCCTAAGAGAACCACGCCCCTTCCCCCCACTAACCTCCTCTCTCCTACCCAGTATTGGAGGTGTTGGACAGGACTGGGTTGAAGAAAGAGGCATAAGAAACTAAAATAAAATAGAGATTTAAAAAAGCACAACAGTTTCCTAGCAGCTAAAAACTCCAAAAGAAAACAAGCTTCCATGAATGATGAGAAGTAACGGAGAAGGAAGCTCTCAGCTCAGGTCCTTAATAGGACAATGGGACCTAAGGGACCACCTTTACATCTCATTTTTATAACCTGAGGACCTAAAACCCGCCCACACCATCTGAAATAGCAATACAGGCCTGGTCAGCTTAGGAAGTGATGGCACATGACCTACCCCAGATACAGGGCAGAGCAGGGAATCTGTGCTTAATGTGTGGACTGCAGCCTAAGAAAGCACTCACCAAGTTTAAAAAAATAAAAAAGCCTGCGAGAGTAAGTGACCACCGTGCAGGCAGAGCTGGACTGAACTGTGAATGGTTATCTCCTGGAGGCCTTTCCTCCAGTAACCTCGTGCACACATTGGTTCTGTACCTTTGCACTCATTTCCTGGCTGAAACGTATTACTTTCCTTCCTGGTCAACCCCTATCAAGCCCTGCATGGGTTCCTCCCGAGGACTATCATCTACTAGGCAATAGACTTTGAAGGCAAAGATGTGTCTTAGTCATCCTCCTGTGTAGATTTCTGCCACAAAAGACATGACAAATGCTCTCCACATGAACGAATAAAAAGGACACCCTGTCAAGCTGTTTGCAGGAACAATTTTTATGGTTGGATATATATATATATATAGTCTTTTAAATCTCAAGGCCATAAACCTAGAAGAATAAATTTTATTAGTTGTAAAAACAGCTGAAAAAAAAAAAAAAAAAAAAAACCAAACAGTTGAGACTGGGTATCGGTGGTGTTAAAGGTGAAACCCTTCTTCTCTGGAGTGGTTAGGATCCTGAGATGGACGGTTCACCATGCACAGGGTATTGAGAAGCAAGAGGAAGGTGGCCTCCTTCCCCTGTGAGTTCTATTTCATGGTCTGTTAGGAGGCACATTCATAGCGCGCACAGCTGGGCTTAAGCAACCATCAGTGAGCAAGCTGGTGTTCTTATCACTTAACTCACACAGGGTCACTGAGCAGGAATCAAGTCACACTGGAAAGACCTGTCTGGCATCTTTCTGAGCATGTACTCGGACTAGCAGTACTATCCCAGAGAGAGAACCTACAGGGCTGAGGGTCATTTAAGCAAGCGCCATGTTCAGGCTAGTAAGTCAGGAGGAACAATAAAATAAATACTTTATTAATCATATCAATAACAATAAGGGAGTCAAATAATCAGGAATTCAGCTACTGTGGTATATTAATCCTTCCCCCACAGGTTTTTTTTTTTTAAATCTAAATCATGTGAGAGTAATCCATACAGACACCCATAATGAATCAGTAGGGAAGTAACCGGCACCCTGCTAGCTGTGATAAGCTCAGTGGACTCTCTGTTAACTCTCTGCTGACCACAAACAGGCCTAGTTAAAATTTAACACCTAAGTCAAAGCTCAAGGAAACCCGCAACGATTTCAGCTTAAAAGGCAGTGGAAATGTGATATTGTACACCTTTGATTCCAGCACAAGCAGAGGCAGGCACATCCCTGAGTTCAAGGCCTGCCTGGTCCACAGAGTGAATTCTGGGTCAGAGAAATCTGTTTCAAACAAAACAAACAAAAACCCCAACCAAATAAACAAACAAAAAACAACAACAACAACAAACCAAAGAAGTGAAGAGAAATAGCACACACATACAAATGGATTCGCAAGACCCCAAGGGCCCTGCCCCCACCTTTTTTCCACTGTCTGGTTGGGGGATCAGCCCCAAAGCACAGCCACCCACAGGTAAACAGAATCTGAGGGGTCACAAGGAACAAAGCACAGGAACCTCTAGGGCTCCCTGAGATCAAGGCGACCGGGAGGCAAGCAGCAAATACAAAACAATGGGGCCAAATGGTGATTTTTAAAACATACAGGCAGAGAAAGCCCTCAAAAAACTACAGACACACACACACACATACACACACACACACGTCCTTTTGTGGGGAAACCTGAAATCAAACTGCCACACTTACCCAGGAGAGGAGACAATGGGTTTCCTCTCCATGCTGTCACTTCAGACAGTGTCACTCATGACAAAAACACACTGCTTTCTTTTTTTGTTTGTTTGTTTCTTGCTTTTAAGGTTTAATTCAACTGCACAGAAAATAAATGTACCAAGAAATCCAACCTGAGTCCAGCTAACACATTGTATGTCGGGGGGTGGGGTGGGGGGTGCAGGGACCCACGCTATTGTAGAGCAGCCCTGTGACCAGAATTAAAAAACAATAAAATAAAATAAAATTCCAAAATAAATCACACAGGAAGTCATTGTTCCAAAGAAACTGATCCCATGCAGGAGGATGGACACACGCGCGTGCGCACACACACACACGTTACGCTGGTCTTTTATTCAGTGTTGACTGTGAAACTGTGGGAAAGAACAAAAGTTAGACATGGAAAAAAAAAAAAAAATGGTGCGCTAAAGCCCTCTGCCACCAGAGGAGTAAGACAGTCAAAGAAAGCCGCCGAGCTGTAAGAAACAGGAGCAGAAAGGAAACAGCAGTTATCAAGGAAGGTTTTAATTACTTCGCAGAGGGGGAGGGTCGAAGCACAGAGAGCGAACACAAGTAAAGGCACAATGGACTGTGCAGTGGAGTGGAACCGAACCCTTCCTTCAGTTAAATGCTTGCTGTTCTTTTTGCTTGTTTTTTGCTTGTGATTGAAGGTGATTGTCCTTTTTTTTTCCCTTTTCATTTAGTTTTCAAGAAATGAGTCTTGAAGGCAAAATTTTAATGGCCTCCTCTCTTCCCCCTCATTCCTTAAGTTTGGGTGGTTTAACAGTCACCTTGACCACATAGCTAGGGACTGAGGAGTCGGGGGAGAGTAAGGTTATACCTGGAATGTGAAGAATCTGCTTTGCAGATGATTGTAGGTTGGGTCTTCAGCAGATAGTGCAGTGTGGTGCTTTCAAAGGGCCTCTGAAGCCCTACGTCCCACCCCCAGAACTTCACAGAACCAAGGACCCTGGAGTCACATTTCTCCCACTCTCCCATTAGCATTCGGCCTACAGATTATTTCAAGTGATCAGGAGAATTAAAACATACCCCACCCCTGAGTTGCTCTGTAGCAAGTCTATTTACAGTTATTTTTTCCTCCTCACCTCTCCCTGGAGGTAAATCTAGGTTTCAAGCTGGAAGCCATTGGGTGAGGGGATCCCCCAGGGCAATGGCCAGTGACTGGTTTTCTTGCCTTTGCTAGAAAAGGGGGCAGGGAGGAATTCCTGGCGACAACAGCCTCCAGTTCATCAGCTGGGATAGCCCTGCTCACACAACTGGCCTAGGCTGTGAAAAAGCCAATTCCCAGAAGAAAAGCACACCTGGAATAGCAAAGCACTTTGGTCCAGGTTTGGTCATTGAAGAAAGGGAAAGAGGGGCATCTAGCTTATTTGAAAACCAGAGGCCACTGCCCACCTTCAGGCAGGGCAGTAACAGCGATTGTGTGTTTCCCATTAGGGAAAAATAGCACAAACCCCACTGTTGACAAAGCTTCTTGTTGCTTAGCTGGGCAATGATTTGGGAGGGGATAAGGGAATCAAAGGGAGTAGGCAATAGCCTCAACATGAGACCACCCAATCTTCCACTGGAGAGACAGCATTCCCACGAGGAGATAAAAGAGCAGTTCAAACGGGAAAAATTTTTAGTGCTCTCACAGCCCACCCACCTTAAACCTATATTACAAGCTTTGTACAACACACAAAATAGACCAACAGTTTTGAGGATCACGTTCCCATCTTCAATAGCAAATATACATGATAATAAATCTGTTATCAACAGCAGGACCAATGATGTATAAGGCAAAGACATTTAAATCGGGTGTTGTGTCATCAACATGCTCCATCAAATGGAGGAGCAAACCCATTACCTTAGATCTAAATCCAGGCCTTTTTTTTTTTTGGTTGTTGTTCCATCAGGCAAAGACAATGAGAATATATAATCAATACCCACATGACACAGTCTAAGGCTGGGGAATATAAAGGACGGCAGGTCATGTCAAGGAAGATATCAGCCCCACCTAAAAGCTGGGGTTTGGCTTTATTTGTGAGATTATTTATATATAGATATTTTGATGTTCTATGTTTCAGTAAGGGGAAATTTTTACACACTCTGATAACATTGTACAAAAGGCATCAACTCCCATTTCAAAAACAAATGGGAAGACTTCACAGTCAAAGTTCAGTTATATTAGTCAGCATCTACCCTGGAACGCCTGCAGTTCAGCTCTTCTCTTAGCTCTGTTCATTCTAGGACGCTGGGGATACTCCTGGGAGTAACTGCTAACATAGTTGAAAAGAAGAATGATAAATAGTGAACAATTAGATGACTGGTGAGATCTACTCACGGCTGTCCCAAGAGTCAAAGTGGTCCAGGAGATGGCAAAGGGTAACACCCAATAAATAAATAAACCAAGTTAAGTCCCTGGTCACCAGCAATGGAAGAGGTGGGTCTTACCTTGTATTTTGCAAACATCCTGAGCCTATGTTCCACTAGATTAGAAAGGTCCCTATGAACCAGGTGTGCTGGTGCATGACACACAGTCCAGCACAAGGGAGGCAAAGGCAGCCTGGTCTACAAAGTGAGTCCAGGACAACCAGAAACCCTGTCTCAGGGGAAAAAAAAAAAAAAAAAAAAGAATGGTCCCTATGATAGTTGAACCCTGTGGCGTAGCTGAAGTTTTTAGGTAGCTTCCCCTATCCAATTCAAAGAACAGCCTTATCTCCCTACTGTCATGCAAGATTTGAGCAGCCTGTGCCCAAGGCAACGACCCTGTAGGAAACCAGCTCATCTGCTTCGCGGCAACCAGGTGTCCCACACTGCAGAAGAGCCAACCACCGGCCAAGAAACCAACCTCAGCTGGAGCATCTATTTCCTGTGCTGTTCACCTATCACTTGGAAGACAAGAAACCATGTATTGCTGGCTGCCAAGGAAGACCCACTGACTGGATTGTGGCACACCTCCCTAAGTCTTTGTGCTTCTTGGTTTACAAGACTAAATGAATATCGCACAGATTTCCTGTCCTTTTCTACTCTTCAGCCTTAACCTCTGCAGTCTTGGGAAGGTAAGGGCGGCAGAGAAAACAGGAAGAGCCTGCTGTGTCAGGTGGGTGTGAGAGTCAGTATGAGCAGGCTGTCAAGACCTTTGGCCAGAAGAGCCAGACCTTCCTGTGAAGTGAGTGCTTCCTTCTTCCCTTCTTAGTCTCCCTGGAGCATTCTCCAAGGGCTGAAGGAGTCTAAGGGCTGTTGACCACTTCAGGGTTAATCAGAAAACACTGAGGCAATCCTGAGGTTGAGGTTAAGGCCCTAAACCCTCTTTTCATCTCTTTTAAGAAGCTTCTAGGGTTTGTGAATTGGGAATGAATAATGCCCTCTACAAAGAATGACTCTTCTCTCCAGGGATGAGGAACAGGATCGACCTAGCACACTGGGGAAGGGGCAGGAGGTCCTGGAGCTCAGGCAGCCCTGGTCCTTAGCTGCAGAAGAGCTGCCTCACTCTGAAATGATCCTCAGTTTACTTTTCCTCTTCTACTGTTTAGTTCAACTGATTAGTACCCGGTGAATGTTCAGCTTATCCCTTGGGATGGGGGAGGAGGAATGAGAACAAAACTAAAACACTCTTTAAAATGAGGAAGAGTCATGTCCTTGTCCTTTCTGTAACCTGACCTTTAAAACAGATCACCTCTCTGCAAACCCCCTTCCTGCTTCATGAAAAGTACCCTTTTCCTCAGAAGTCCTGGCCACACCAACCCCTAAACTATGGAATATAACACACACACCACACTTCGCCCGAGGTGAGTAACAGCGGACAGAGGAGTCCATTTTCCACCCCACCCAATGTGAGTCCCTTCACCATAACAAGGCACCTTTCCCTGGAAGAAAGCAGGAGACATGGAGGCTTTCTCCTCTTCTGGCTAGCAGGGCTTGCTGGAAGAGGGTGGGTACAGGGCTTGAGACCCTACTACCAACAGAAAGAATCCAATCACCAAATCCAGAGAGGAGATGCATAGATGGAGCTGGGCTGGGGGATGCTCGGAGTCGAGGGTTGGTTGCAGTGGAGAAACACTGTAGGAGCTCTCATGCAGGTTTCAGGGGTTGGGAGACCATCTGAGAAGAGGAGGTCCATCCTTTGCCTGAGGAGCAGGACCAAGCCAGGCTTCACCTGAGAATGGGTGGCAGAGGTGGGGCTCCACGCGCAGCTGGAAAAGACAAAAGACATACACAGTCAGCTTACATACTAGACCCTAAATAACACTGCTGAAATGAGACATGCTCCTTTTTTAAAAAGATTTTTTAATGTATGTGGATGTTTTAGCTGCATGTACAGCTATCTGCACACCACAAGAGGTCATCTGATCCCATGAGACTATAGTTACAGATGGTTGGGAGCCACCATGTAGGTGCTGAGAACTGAACTCAGGACCTTTGAAAGAGCAGCCAGTGCTCTTCAGCTCTGAACCATCTCTCTGGCCTGAGACAGGCTCTCCAAGTCAATTTTAAAAATCGGGGGACTAGGGCTGGAGAGATGGCTTGGTAAATAGGTGCTTGCTGCCAAGCCTGCTGACCTGACTTTACTCCCCAGGACCTGCTTGGTGGAAGGAGAAAACCACCTCCAGCCGACATCTACATGTGCAAAACACGTGACCTCAGAGAACACAGCAGCCACGTTGCGTGCATCACTGGGGCTCCCTCCACTGTTCTCGCACCTCTGTTTGTCTTGCTGGGGTATACTCTTTGAAGATGCTTATACTCCTCTGGAGCAGGGAAGTCCTCCACCGGATGGAAGGAGTACTTCGACTCAAAATCATCTACGAAAAGAACAGAGCAGTAAGACACCTCCCGAAGACGAAGACTAGCACCAGCCCTTTTCAAATTCCTGTTCTAAAGGAGTTTCAGGCTGATTCTTCAAATCTTCTTTTGTTTGTTTGCTTGTTTTGAGACAGGGTTTCTCTGTATAGACTATAGACCAGGCTGGCCCTGAACTCCAGCGATCCGCCTGCCTCTGCCTCCCTGAGTGCTGGGATTACTGGCATGTGCCACACCCGGCTGATTCTACCAAAATTCAGATAGCATCGGAAAGGAGCACATCTGTGTGTGCGCCAGGAAAAACAAGGTGGGCTTAAAAGACTGTTCCTACGGGAAAAGAGCTGAATTAAATTTACAACCTCAAATGGGAATGTGTCTCTGGCTAGTGAGAGTGAAACCAGAAAAAGGTGTTCCGCCTAGGTTACCCTGTATTGTTCCGCAATACAGTTCATACAGCCATGTCTTGGCGCACTCCTCCTTTCTATGAACTCTTCACAAGTTTCAAAAGTCTTATGAACATAGATGATCACGAGCTTAAGAGGTTTTTTGTTTTTGTTTTTGCTTCAGCCCTTTCTTTTCAAAGCAAAACCCTGGTGCACCTATTAAGAACAGACTGGAATATATTGGGGGTAGTGACGGAGGAGCACCCCTTAAAGAGTCTAGAGTATTAAGAGTTGCTGGAGACCTTATGGTCCATTCCACGAGTCTTCAACAGAGGCCTCACAACACATCTGGACACCTTTACTTACAGGCCATCCCACCCCATGGGGTGAAGACGCTCAAGTAGAGAGCTCAGCATTTGTAAGTTTGGAAAAGTTGATCCGATATGCTACATCTAGTGAATTTCCCAGTTCTGTATGTGGAAAAAGTGGAGTCCAAAGAAATGAATGACTTCCCCAAAACAAAACAAAAACCCAACAAACAAAAAAAAAAAAACCAAAAAATAAAACAAAGCTGGTTCACCACTGCCCTCTGTGTATTATTACTATTATTATTATTATTATTATTTTTTTTTTTTTTTTGTAGTGCTGGGGTTCAACCTAAGGCCCCTGTGAGCTACGCTTATTTAGCTTTTCATGCTTTCTCTGTAGTGCAAGGGATCGAACCCAGGGCCTTGCACACATTAGGCTAGTGCTACACCAAAGCTTCATTCTGAGCCTGTTGAGAGTAAGTAACCAGGGATAAACTTGGATACATAATTCTAGGAGATATATGAACAAAGAGCACAGTCTGTGCTGGAAAGCCTAACCAGTGATCCTTGGGGACTTGAGAGCTTTAGAATTAGCATGACCCCTGATGACTTGACTTCAATCTGTTCATGTAAGGAAAGGGGCGTCAATGGACTGGGAGCAGAGCTCAGGGAGAAAGTCAGGAGAGGAACTGCTACCAATAAAAACTACTGCTCTAGGCCATTCTCTATCTCCAGGGGCCACCTTTCTACTAAGGCACAGGATTCAGTGACGTCACCACCAGAACTGTGAAACAAAATCTCTAACTACTTACCCAAGAAAGAGCGGACAGTGGTAATGGAGTCTCTATGGCCATTCCTCAGGGGCGGAGGTGGGGGAGGGGGTGGCCCAGCTGGTGTCCTTGAGGGTGGAGGTGGGGGCTTTCCTCTGCTTGGTGGTTCTGACCCATGCATTCGGTAAGGTGGCGGGGGTGGGGGGGCATCCCTGGCACCATTTCTGATCATGGGTGGTGGAGGTGGAGGAGCTGCAATTCAAATTCAAAGCAGTTAGGCTTCAGCTGGAGCTGGCCAAACAGAGAAAAGTTTGAGATACAAACTAAGAAAGCAGCCTGGGGGGCAGGAGAGATGGCTCAGCGGTTAAGACCACTGGCTCACCCGCTGCTCTTCCAGAGGACGTGGTACAATTCCCAGCACACACGTGGCAGCTCACATCTGTCTGTAACTCCAGTTCCAGGGGAATCTAACTCCCTTACACAGATATACATGCAGTCAAAACATTAATGCACATAAAATAAAAATAATTATTTTAAAATAAAAAGGGATGGTGAGGGAGTGAACGTGAGAAATGCATTATGATACAGATGTATAGAAATGTTCTGATGACACTCTTAAGTTTTATATACCAACTATTAAAAAAAAAAAATCAAAGTGCCAGGCAGTGGTGGTGCATACCTTTCCAGCACTCAGGAGGCAGAGGCAGGCAGAGGTCTGAGTTCAAGGCCAACCTGATTTACAAAGCAAGTTCCAGGACAGCCAGGGCTAAACAGAAAAATCCTGTCTCAAAAAAGCAAAACAAACAACAACAACAACAAAAAAAATCATAGAAAATAAAAGAGAGAATCAGGCTCTAAGAGGATTCTTGGGTGGCAAAGCTGCTGCTCTCCCTCTCTCCCCACCCCTCTGGTTATCAGTTTTGATCTCTTGGGGTTTTGTTATGTGTTTTTAAGATGGGTCTTCCACCCTGCCCCAAGACAGAGTTTCTCTGTGTAGCCCTGGCTGTCCTCCTGTAACTGTAGACCAGGCTGGCCCCAGAACTGGAGATCTGCCTGCTTCTGCCTCTTGAGTGCTAGGATTACAGGCGTGTGCCACCACCGCCCAACAATGGGTCTCATCTTAACATAGGCTTGACTCAGACTTGCTAGGCAGCCCAGGATGGTCCGGAACTTGCTGTTCTCTGCTTAGCCTCCACAGAAACAAGTATGTGTTATCATACAACAGTGTCGGAATGGGATTTAGTGGAGACAGGCCCATGAACTAAGGTGCCCTTTACATACAACAAGCCTACCAGTGCACCACACTTTCACACACACTTCTAGCTTACAAACGAAAAACAAACTCAAAAGAATCAGAAAACTCTGCCCAATGTTACACAACAAATACAGCTACTATTCAGAAGATGGCAGGCTACTCAAGAACTCATCTCTGGTTACTGATGGGGCAGCAGGTAGAGGCCTCTCTCTGGCTCATGTTGCTCATGGCTTACGAATAGAATAAACTCGTAGAATGTGAAAAGCCGGCAGTCTGCAGACACCTGAAACCACTTGTCTCAACCCAGACGTCAGTTTTATTTTCTCTGCTTTTATTACAGAACGGGACTAGAAAGATAGGGGATTTGCTCACACTAAGAGTCTTCTAAAATCTCTAAGTTAGAAGTTTTTAGCTTTTTAAAGATTTCTCTATTTTATGTATATCCATGTCTGCCTGCATGTGTGTGTGAAGCATGTGCATACTTGGAACCAGCAGAGGTTAGAACAGAGTGTCCTCCAGTTTCCCCTGGAACTGGAAGTTCCAGATGATTGTGAGCGGCCATGTGGTTAAAGGGAACAGAACCTGGTCCGCTGGAAGAGCAGCCAACACTCTTAACTACGGAGCCGTCTCTCTAGCTTTACCCCTAAACCTTGTGTACATTTTTTTTTAAACCTGAACTTTACAGAATTCTGAGCTACCTTATGGTTCTAGGTAGGAAAACAGCACTTCATCGATGTATCAGGTTATTGATGAGCTACTGTAAGGGGAGCACGAATCTACATGCATCCTAACCAAGCAGCAGAACATGATAACGGCCTTTTTATTAATTAAAAATGTTTTTCAAGACAGGTTTCTTTGTGTAACAGCCCTGGCTGTCCTGGAACTCACTCTGTAGACCAGGCTGGTCTTGAGCTCACAGAGATCCTCCTGCCTCTCCCTCCCCAGTGCTGGGATCAAGGGGTTGGGCCAGCAGGCCCAGCTTACTTTGTAATTTGTATTGATTCTTCTTCATGGGTGTGTGTGTGTCTACATGTCTGTGTACACTGTGTGCACAGGTACCCATGGAGGCTACAAGAGGGCGCCAGGTTTCTTGAAACTGAAGTTACAGATAGCTGTAAGCAGATAGGCGGTGCTGGGAAACTAACCCTGGGGCTCTGGAAGAGCCCTCAGTGCTCTTAACCATTGAGCCATCACTCCAACCTCCAAGGATGTTTGTTTTTTTTTACTATTATTATTATAATTAAAATTTATTTAGAACCAGGTGTGCTAGTGCACAGCTTTAATCCCAGCATTCAGGAGGCAGAGTTCAAGGCCAGCTTGGTCTACAGAGCAAGATCCAGGCCAGCCAAGGCTACACAAAGACCTTGTTTCAAAAACGAAACAGACCACTGGGTGTGGGACTGCAAGTCTTTACAAAGCCCTACACGTCCTCCTGGGGAGAGCTACATAGCCCCTCCCCCACCCTCCCACCTCCCCGGCGGTCCCAAGTGTTATAAATATTCCTACTTGAGGTCTTTTCCACACTGTGGCCATATGGGTTGAGCCTTTTTTCACTCTAACCTCTCGCCCTACTCAGAATGTCATCACCCTTCCCTGTGCATCTCCTCCTGGTTTATGTCTCTAAAGCACACTATATACCATTACTCATATGCATCTACTAGGCTGTCCACAACCTGAGGTTTTTTATTTTCTCTAACAATTACTAACACATGAAGAGACACCAATAAACCGGGTCAATACTTGAATTCTTATTCTCCCTAATCGCTGCAGAAAAAGCAAAGAAAAAAGATAGAAGGCTTGTAGGCTCTTACCTGCTCCCCTACTAGGAGGGTCTCGGGCTGGGGGAGGTGGCCTGTTACTCAACAAGGAGGAGGGGGTGGCTGAAGTGGGTGGGGGAGGTGCAAGGCCTCTGACAGGACCTGGCGTTTTCCTATGCAAAGAATTGTGTCTCTGTGGCAGCTCAGGGGCTGACTCATTGGTGGGGCTTGAGGGGCCATTGGGGACCCCAGGAGGCTGGCGGTAAGGCGGTGGGGGAGGAGCCAGAGACTGGCCACTGGGTCCCGTTCTGATATTCACAGGGGAAGGTGGTGGCTTTACAGGGGGTGGAGCAGGATGTCCTTCTCGACCCGGGTGCAGCCTCTGTCCAGGTGTCGGAGGCAACGGTTTCTCCCTATTGTAGGCTTGGGCTTTGCTGCTGTGCAGAGGCAGAGCAGTGGGGGGCGTGTTGGCAGCACGCCGCCCTGGGGGCGGTGGGGGAGGAGCAGAGGAGCTGTGCTTCATGCCGGTACCGCTGGTGGTATTGGGACGAGAGAGGTCTGGTAAGGAGGGTCTCTGCATCCGGGGCAGTTCTGGGAGGGAGGCCCGGCTGCTGTCGGTATCATCGTGAGGGCGCCCACTGGATGCAGACACTGGAGGCCTTGGAGCAGCAGCTCGAGAACTGGGGACTTGCGGGGCTGGCTTAGCAGCTGGAGTCTCTACAATACACCAAACAACACTGTGTCAACGGTTAGTCTGTTAGTCAGGTCTCTGCTGACGCACCCTCCACCGAGCACTGCTCTTACTTGGGTTTGCTTGCTCTCCTGTGGCCCTGGGATCAAACCCAGAGGCCCAGGCATGCAAAGCACCCGCTCTGCTGCTGGCCTACATCTCTAGCCCTAGTTCTGAGTTTTAATCAGGTTTTAACAGAGCCAGAACCTGTAAATATACATTGCTGACATAAGCTGAACACATTCAAATTGAATTATATTTATTTCTTTTACCTTTTTTTGAGGAAGGGGGTAGTTTCTGTGTAGCTCTGTCTATCCTGGAACTCGCTCTGTAGACCAAGCTGGCCTCAGAACTCAGAAATCTGCCTGCCTCTGCCTCCTGGGTGCTGGGACACACACCAGGCCCTGATTGTCTGTTTCTTTTTTTTAATTTTAATTTTTATTCACAATTTATTCATATATATCCCTCAACTCCTTCCAGTCCTACCCTCCCCCCATCCACTTCCCCTAGTCCACTGAAAGGGGCAGTTCTCCTCCTTTGCCATCTGCCCATAGCTTGTTAGGTCTCGTCAGGACTGTCTGGATCCTCTTTCTCTGTGGCCTGGTAAGGCCGCCATCACCAGGGGCAAGTGATCAAAGAACAGGCAACCAAGATCATGACAGAGGCTGCCCCTGCTCCCCTTACTCGGGAATATGGAACACTTCACCTACTTGCGTGTCATCCCTGCACAGGGGCCATGCTGATCGTCTCTGTATCGTTCCAATTTTAGTGTAAGCGCTGCTGAAGCAAGCACTTGTCTTTCTGTTCATTTCACACAGCACAATGTCCTCTAGTTCTATCCATGTTGTCACAAATAACACTTAATTTTCTTCTTAAGGGCTAAGTAATAAATCTATTCTCTTTGTATACACCTTCGTGTGTGTGTGTGTGTGTGTGTGTGTGTAAATATTCTAATATATTCATTTATGTATTTAGAGACGGGTCTCTCTCAGGTAACTTAGGCTGGCCTCAGACTCAATATATAGCCAAGGCTGACGTTGAATGTCTGAGACTGTCCTGCCTCTACCTCCCATGTTTCGGATTACACATGTATGCACTTATCCTGGCTTATGCAGTGCTGGGATCTGGACTCAGGTCTTGATACACACTTCAACTCACCAAGCTATAACCCAGCACTTAAAATCTTTTTTGTTTCTTTAAGGCAGGTTCTTGCTCTTGTGTCAGGCTGGCCTCAAACTTGTGAATCTCCTGCCTCAGCCTCCTAAGTAGGACGGCAGTCATGTACGACACCGGCTCACATTTTCTTTACCTAAGTTAATCACATTTTATTCACCCTCAGCTTTGCTTTATGCTATTGTCTTCTTTCTTCTTCCCACCCTCAACTCCAGTTCTCATCCCAAGATAGCACAGCTGGAACAAGTCAAAAAAACAGATGTGGTTGGGAGACATCATGAGAGATCACTTCTCAGATACCTGAGGCATCCTTGGCTCCCACAGGTCGGAGCTTCGGCACTCCTCCTTGAAAGAGACCTCCCTTGGGCTGCAGAGCAGCAGCTCCAGAGCTGTAGCCACCGCTGCTCCCTTTGGGCTCTGGAAGGCAGAGGTAAGGGTTTCATTTCATCTGCTCTGAGCTGCTGGCCAAGTCAAGCCTGAGGAAAAAGAGCTCCCCTCTCTAGGCTTTCATTTACAAATGTACCACTCTTGCTTTTGCCTATCAGGAAGCAGCAAGCAGCCTCCCCACACCAAACATGATCAAACCTAACAACACTCAGGCCTTGCAGCTGCACACCTTCATGTGAGGACCATTAGCACACAAACAAGCTACAAGGAAAAGGGAAGGGGAAGCCATTAGGATACAGACAAAAAAAACTCAAAGATCTGTTCAGCAGAGTTCTCTGGGTTCAGGGGGATGGGTGTAATCACACTCTCCTGAGGCCGACAAGAATGGACATGTACAGCAACTGGACAACCATCTTGGTTTCAGCCAAGAAGCTTCCAGGAATGCGGAGGTCTCCTAAGAGCCAAGGATGTGCCCTGACAAACACTAGCAGCAGTAGAGGAGGAGTTTGAATGCTGAGAAAAGTTAAGAAGAACTTTCATGGTATTCAACTCTGAAACTCACAGCAAAGTCAAGCTACCCAGAATACCATTTTCCCACTGGAGAAATGACAATAAATGGGATGGTCCAGAGACGTCTTCCAAGCCTGGATCCTGACTCAAACCTAGGGAAAAAGCTTAGACTCACTCTCAATGATAGGAGCGCTCCGATCATTAACGTTGGTCACCTTCTTCAGTTTGGTCCCTTTGCAAATGTCTTGTAAGAGGGCTCCTCTATTCCGCTGCTCATCTCTACTGAGTTTGGGCTGTTCTGTGTTTGCCTGGAGGAAGAAGCAAATGTTAAGGTGACCCTGAAGGGCTCCTTCTATCACAAGCCTGCAAAAGTGACTTAAGCCAAGCATCCATAAGATGCTAGTGCAATACATTCAGATAGATGTGCCAAGCAGCAATATTAATGTGCACCATTACTCTCCTCAGCTCCCCACTTCCTTCTGTGAAGGGCACAGACCTCCCTCCATTCACAAGCTTCCGGGGAGGGCAAGACCAACCATGACTTTGTGTCTAGGACATGTTAAAAAAGCTCCGTCCCAGCACAAGCTTTTACTGAGCACTCACCGTGCGTCAGGCATCGTGCTATGTATTGCTTAGGTTGCCTCATTTAAAACTTGAAGTACTCCCCCAGAAAGGTATGATTACCACGATCCACATTTCAAAGTGTGGCTCAGAAGCTCAAGAGTTTCCGATGGTCATGCAATTAGTAACTGGTAAAAGCAAGAATCCACACCCCAATGCTGACTCTGCAGAATTGTATCCCAGCCTAACCTGTCAACTTCCTACTACGCTGTCTTCTATACAGTGTTAAGCAGTAGGCCTTGACAGTCCTACCCCAAAACTGAGGTAATAGTTCTAGAAAGTTAAGGGCACTTAATTAGCACACACTGAGCCATTTTTCAAATTTTAAAATGTTATTTGTCATTACTGCATGTGCCCTGCTGAACATGCAGAGGTCAGAGGACAACTTTCTGGAGCTAGCTTCCCCCTTCCACTCTGCGTTCTAGAGAGTGAACTCGGGTCACCAGGCCTGCACAGCAAGAGCCTGTACCTGTCAGACCTGAGCCAAGTTTTAAATGCCGATGTGATTGCCTCAGAGTCCCTGCCTCTTTCAACACCATGTTTCTTTTCAGGTCTTTCAGATTCCTCTTACGTCACTTCCCAGAGTTCTATCCTTAGCCTCCACCTAAATGTTTCTGATGAAAGCCAATCAGGATTTGTGCACTACATATAAAGCCCCCAAATCTCTGTGTGTGTGGGTGGACATGTTCATTTGTATCTGCGTGTGTGCGCATGCATAAGGAGACCAGAGGCTGACATCATGTGTTTTCCTCAATTGCTCTCCAGTTCATTTTTTTTTTTTTTTTTTTTGTATTTGTTTGAGACCAAGCCTCACTACATAGTCCTGGCTGTCCTGAACTCACAAAGATCCACTCACCTCTGCTACGCTCAGCTTTTGTTTTGGTTTTTTGAGACAGGGTTTCTGTGTGTAGCTTTGTCTGTCCTGGACTCAATTTGCAGACCAGGCTGGCCTTGAACTCACAGAGATTTGACTGCCTCTGTCTCCCAGAATGCTGGGATTATGGGTGTGTACCACTATGCCTAGCTCGAAGCTTTTTTTTTTTTTAATACACAAACTAGAGTGAACTGAGGACCTCACACTTGTGATTCAAGCACTTTACTGAGTGAGCTGTCTCCTCAACCCTCCTGTTTTTCACTTCTTCCCTTCATGTCTGACCTGAGCTCCATATACACATCAGCAAGTACAGTGCATCTCCACATAATATCCTACACATCTAAAACATAACACACCACAGCTGTAGTTCTGAGTGCACTTGGAAAATGTCTGTGTGTGTGTCAGTGCCGGGGATCAAACTCAGTGCACTGTATCGTCTACGCAAGTGCTCTACTACTGAGCTATAGCCCCAGTTCACCTGTTAAATCTTAACACTAGTAAGCATAGAGATGTTTTTCTTTTTTTTGCCCCATTTATTTCGTGTGTGTGTGTGTGTGTGTGTGTGTGTATGACGACTACTCACATTCAGACCAGCCTAGGCCTCAAATACCCTTTTTTAAACAGCAAACAGCAAGGGGTGAGCATGGTGGTGGTACACACCTTTAACCCCAGCACTTGGGAGGCAGGTCTTTGTGAGTTCGAGGCCAGCTTGGTCTACACAGTGAGCTCCACACCAGCTCTCACTATACAGTGAGACCTGTACTCAACAAAACAAAATAAGGGGCTGGAGGTGGCTCAGTGCTTGAGGGCACTGGCTGCTCTTCCAGAGGACCTGGGTTCAATTCTTAGTGCCCACATGGCACTTATCAGTTCAGGGCATCTCTTCTGGCCTCCGACAACACCAGGCACTCACACGGTGCGCGCACACATCCATACATATCAAATAAAACAATTTAGAAACCTGTAATGAACTGGCTGGGAGTAACAGAACGGATGAAATGGCAGCAGGAAACTACCACCTTGAATCTTCATTTCTTCTCAAGGACGTTAGAGAAATGAGACTGACCTATTTGGATTTTTTTTTCTTTCTTTTCTTTTTTTGCTGTTGTTTTTGTTTGTTTATCTATGTTTTTTGGATTCTCAAGAAAGGGTTTCTCAATGTAGCCTTGGCTGTCCTGGAACTCACTCTGCAGAACAGGCTGGCCCCAAACTCAGAGATCCATCTGCCTCTGCCTCCCCAGTGCTGGGATTAAACGTGTGCGTAACCACCCTGCTGAGATTAACCTATTTATAGAACAGATGTTTATAGGGACCTCTCAGAAATCCAAACCAGGCTTGTTTGTTCTCTATATTCCTACACTGTCTGCTATTAAATGTGTCTGTGCATGGAAGTCCTAAGTCTCTGGCGCTCAGGTCTATGATCCAGAAGGCACGCAGGAGGCAGACAGAGGATCACCCTGCAAGTCAAAGGCCAGTCCGACCTGCATACCAACAGTCTGACCTGCATACCAAGCTCTAGGCAAGTTGCATAGTGAGGTACTGCCTCAAAATGTTGTTAACATTTAAATATATACGTCCGACCTGCATACCAAGCTCTAGGCAAGTTGCATAGTGAGGTACTGCCTCAAAATGTTGTTAACATTTAAATATATACTTAAACTAGAGATGGTATTAAAATCGATTAATGGAAATGTTATCTCATGTCTGTAATCCCAGCATTTGGGGAAATGAGGAAAAAGGACCTAAAGTTTAAAGCCAGCCTGGACTACACAGCAAGTACAGGCTGTATACATAACAGGATCTTACATAGCAAGATCCTATTACAAACAAAACCACACGAGGGGTGGATGCTGGAGAGATGGCTCAGTGTTAAGAATATTTGCTGCTCTTGAACTCAAATTCAGTTCCCAGAAACCACGTCTGGCTGAACACAGCTGCTTGTAGCCCCAGTTCCTAAAGATCCTGAAGACCTCTCCTGCCTCCTGGGGCACCAGGCATGCATATGGTACACATACATGCAGACAAAACACTCATCTATGTAAAGTAAATATAAAAGAAATAAAAAATACAACTGAAGAGCAAACTCAGAGTGCAAGAGTGGTCAGGTAAGAAAAATCAACGTTTTAAACAAAGAAGATTGAAAAGAAAAAGAACGTAACAGTGTGGAAAGTCCACCAGTTTACTTAAAGGTTTGAGGACAGCCTAGTGGAGAGCTTACTTACCTGATTAAAGGTGGGAGGTGGGGGAGGGCCGGGTGGAGGTGGGGGAGGAGGAGGAATTGGCATCCTTGCCCTGCTCCCAGCTGGCACCGTTCTCTCTCCGTCTTTATTTGCAGCTTTAGGTCATTCATATACCTGTAAACAAAACCAAATTCAAAACACAGCTTTATACTTAGTGGCCCTGTGTGCTCAGGGGGTCTACGTTGGACAGAAACCAGGGACCCTGAGCACTTCGTCTCATACATAAATGCTCTGTAAAGTGCCAACCTATGGTCTCCTTTTATAGATGATTCTGTCTTGTGGTGCTAGGGCTCAACTCCAGGACCTCATGTGTACTAAGTGTGGGCTTCACCCTTGATCTCTCCTCCCAGCCCAATTAAAAAACAACAAAAAAGACCCACTATATTTTAGAAGTTTCAGGTTCACAGCAAAACCAAACAAGAAACATCAAGAATTTCTCTGTAATTCTGTCTCTATGCATGCATCTCACCCCAGCGTGATCGTTGGATCATATACCAAGAGCATGCTTAATTCTGTCAGAAGATGCGAAACTTCTTCAAAAGTGGCTATCCCAATTTTGGATTTGCACCAGCAATAAATGATTCCTTTATTTTCATAAGCCTACCTGCCACTGGTGTATTTTCTTGGCTGAGGTGTCTAAGTCCTTTGACTTTGGGGAGGATGGTGCTAGAGCCTGAAGGTGTGGTGAGCCTGCGTTCTACCAACGAGCCATTCAAAGCTCTAGCCTTCCTTTTTTTTTTTTTTTCTTTCTTTCTTTTTCATTAGACTTTTCATTTTACTGTTGGGTTTTAAAGCTCTATGTATCTAGTGAAATATTTTCTCCCAGTTTGTAGCCTGCTTTCTCAGTCTCTTTGTTTATTTATTTATTTTTTACAACTTTTTAAGAATATAAAATCATGGTGGTAGGGCATGCCTTTAATCCCAGCACAGAGGTGCAGGCAAGTGGATCTCTGAGTTCAAGGCCAGCCTAGTCTACAGAACAGCCAGGGCTACACAGAAAAAAAACAAACAACAACAACAAAAAAAAAAAAACCTGTCTTAAAAAACCTATTACACACACAGACATACACATAATATGCAAAAATATACATACATGTGAAATCATTCTCAGTTTGAGAGGCATTCAAAAACAGGCTGTCAATCAGATTTGACTCACAGGCCACAGTTCACCTGTACCTCGGAACAGTCAGACCCATGGGACTTGATTAGAAAATAAACACTACATGAGAAATTACCTACCTACTTAGTCACAAAACACTTAGCCTTTGAAACCTACCTCTATCTGCCCATAACAGTTTGCTTCATTTCAGATAGGACTGAAATGAGAGAACTGAGGTCATTAAACTGGCTAAAGATAAAACGAGAGCTTAAGAACAGCAAGTCCTCCAAAGTTTGGTCCCCAAAAAAATCTCTTTCCTTGATCTCCAAAAATGGAAGCCAAAATAACACGGCACCATGAACACAAACTCAGATAGGAAAGATACAAAATAAAGGGCTAGAGAGATGGCTCAGCAGTTATGAGAACCCGCTGCTTTTGCAGCTCCCACACCGCGCTGTTCATAACAGCCTGTAACTCCATTTCCAGAGATCTAATAGCCTCTCTGGCCTCCACGGGCACCCACCCACCCACCCACATGTGGCACACAGAAACAAAAGTAAAAATAAATCTTAAAACAAAACAGATTAGGGCACAGGGATTTGCAGTAACCCACAGTACAGATGGGAGAGCATGTGTACCAAGGCAAGCCTTAAGGTCAAGCTAGCAGGGCAAGCCACAGGAAGGCCTAGTTTTGAAGGCCTTACAGGAATATCCATAATCCACTGTGAATAAGAGCAATTTCAATAGTCTCTCCATGTCCTGGAGTGAAGAATGGAAAGAGGTATCCCAAAGGTTCTCTAAGACCAGGAACTGTCCAAGGGGAGTAGAACTGATTAGAAACCTGACTGACAAATCTCCAACCCCAGCTCCTGCCAGCGTGATGTCTGGCACAACAGAGCTGTTTCAAAGAGCTCAGCAAAGATCTGGACAGGGCCTGGATGGCACCTCGTGGAGGCTGACACCTAAACTCACTTCAAAACCAAGCTGTGGGATGGTGATATGGCTCAAGGGTAAGGGCATTTGCTTCCAAGACTAAGAGCCTGCCTTCAGTCCTTACAGTTAATATGGGGGGCGGGGAAGCACTCCCAACAAGTTGTCCTCTGACTTTCACACACATCCAAGCAGGGACTGGAGAGAGAGCTCAGTCAGTAATGTGCACTGAGTTCAGTCCCCAGAACCAACACTAAAAAAGTTGAGTATGCCCGGAGATGGGAGCCCGTGCTTTTAATCCCAGAAGAGGCAGCTGGATTTCTGAGTTCGAGGCCAGCGAGGGCTACACAAAGAAACCCTGTCTCAAACAAACAAATGCTGAGTATGGTGGTGCACACTTTTAATCCTGGTGCAGAGTAAACAAGACAGGAGGAGACAGCCTAGCTTTCACAAGTTCCAGGCCAATGAGAGACCCTTGACATTCTCAGTTGTCCTTACGGTCCCACACATGAGTGCACACACACAGTAGCTAGCTCCCTCCAAGGGAAATGCCATTTCGTTTCTGGTTGCAGAGGTGAGTGTAGTAGTCTCCCTTAACTTGAGACCTAACCCTCCAGTCTGGCAGTTCTCAGCCACACAGTCTCCACCCCTTTGCGGGTTGCATATCAGAATCTTACATTATGATTCACAACAGTAGCAAAATTGCAGTTACGAAGTAGCAACAAACTTAATTTTATAGTTGGGGGGGTCACCACAACATGAGGAATTATATTAAAGGATCACAGCCTTAGGAGGGTTGACAACCACCACTTTAGTCTTTTTTTTATCAAAATCTGCTAGGAGGAGCGATGCCTGATACCTGTTGATACCTGTGGTCCAGCTACTTGAGAAGCTGAGGTGGGAAGACCTCCTAAACCCTGGAGGTCAACACCAGCCTGGGCAAAACGAGACTTCATCCCACTCGGTGCCCCAAACAGATGCTTAGCTTCCCTAAAATGTCAACCAAAGTAGGAAATCTTCATTTGCAGAAACCCTATCATCAAGGGGGTAAATTTAAAATAAATTTAAGGGGTCATTCTCCACATCCAGAAGTGTCCTTCTCTAGCCAATATGCCAATGACACCAAAGGAGCCAAAAAGGAACAACAGCTTCCTACTCACATAGCACAGCAGGAACACAGTGGGCTCACTAGATCGACAGACAGAATCTTTTTAGGACAGTGGAGACTTACACACTTCTTAGCCTTCTAGGGTTAAAAGTCACCACATGGAACATGCCTTCCCATCTACCTGTCCTTTAACATTGTTCCTAAAGACAAGTGAAGCCTAATATGTTGGCGTGTGCCTTTAAGCTCAGCACTCAAGGCAGAGCCAGGTGAGCTCTTGGTGTGAGGCCTGCGTGCTCCGAATACAACTTCAGGCCAGCCAGGGCTATAGAGTGAAACCACGCCTCAAAAACAAACAACCCCCCCTCACACAGCCCCAAAATAACAACGGCAACACAAGAAAGCTGGGAAATCAGTAGTTCCTTAGCACAGTGGGGCAATGGCACCCAGTCCCCAATACAGCAAGAGTGAGAGCTGCCCAAGAGTAGGGCACACCTGAGGGGGCTCCCAACAACAGGAACCAACAGGTTCCTGTGCTTACTGGGGAACTGACGTCCACACAGAGTCAAGTGCACGTGCGTCTGTGTTCTAGGTCAGATTAGAGAAGGCTCCCACACAGGCATTTCTAGTGTCTCTAATGTACAGTGGCCCAGTCAAGATCAACTTTCATGTTATACTTATTTTCCATCACTACTTCATTAAATAGGCTATACAGTTCAGAGCTCTCTTCTCTCAACAGAAAAGGTGCCAACTTGTTTCTGAAATTCAGTTCAGTCAAATGACTGGTAAAATAAGATTTCATCATATGCAGAGATGGAGTTAAAATTCCAAAGTGATCTCATAGAAGGAATTTTTTTCCAAATTCAGGCAAAAATTGTTTTAATCACATAAACTTAACTATGTAGCAAGCCTGATTGGCCCAGAAAGACATTAAAATCAAATACTTACCATAAATGTTTAATCTAAAAGCCCTAGGTTTTCTAAATCATACTATATATGGGCATCATACTATATATATGTTTTTGTTGTGTGGTTTTTTGTTTGTTTGTTTGTTTTTGTTTTTTTTGGGGGGGGTGTTTTGTTTTAAAACAAAGTTCTAGCCAGAGTGTTGGTGCACACTTTAATCTCAGCACCTAGAGACAGAGGCGATGAATTTGTATAAGTTCCAGGTTGGCCTGATCTACACAGCAAGTTCTAGGCCAACTAGTGCTACCTAGAAAAGACTGTCTCAAAAAACAGTAGGGAACGGATGGATGAATTAGCAAAGCCTCACGTTGCTGGGGCTAGCTCTGAACTCTCTAAGTAGCCAAGGATGACCCAGAGTTACTGACCTTCCTACCTTCACCTCTTGAGTGCTGGGATTACAGGCACACACCACAGCCGGAACCGTTACTCCAGGTCAGTCATTTCTCACTGCTGTAAAAAGCATAGAGGCTGGGCAAGTAGCACACCTGTAGCCTCAGCACGCGGGAGGCCAAGTCAGACAGCAAGGTGCATGGCAGCAAACCCTACCTAAAAACAAAAACAGACAGCCCGATCAACCAACTTTTCCCCCATACCAAGCTTTCTCTTCTTGCCCTGGATGATTTTCTTAAGCTCTAAAATGTAAACACAGACGTCTACTTATTCTCTGTGTAAATATTTATTTCCAGACACAGGAAAGCCCAGAAGGCGGGACTTCTTATCTAAAATAATGACAAACAGGGAGACACCATGTTCACAGTCAATTAAGTTTCCACAGTGCAAAGAGTGGCTTCATAAAGACGAAGACTAGAGATAACTAATGCAGAAGAAACTGTAAATTAAATGTCTGAATAGCACCCCAAACGGATGAGGAGTGACCTCAACAAACTCCTCCAGCCCTACCAAGCTCCTCCCATCAGGGCAGAGACAATCTAGCTTTGCACCAGAGAAGTACAAAGTGTTGTGTTAACAGTGATAAGCCAGTGACAGTTAAAGACAGCAGTGATGAAGAATCACTCATACTTTTTATTCCGTGGTATTTTTCCACTCTGTACACCAAAACTGCTTAAAACAGCACTTGTAAAGTATTTTAGAAAGAGTCTAGGATGGGACGGGCCCAGGAGATGGCTCAGCAGTTCAAGGTACTTGTTGGACAACCCGAGATCAATCCCTGGGCGCCAGCGTGGAACGAGGAAACTGACTCCCACAAGCTACCCTAGGGTCCAGTGCCTGCACTTGCACGGGCTGCACAGGCACTCACACACAAAACTAATAAATTCACATTTCAGAAAAGATGAGGCTGAGCGGTGTGGCTCAGTGGTAGGGAATATGCATGCATACACAAAGCCTTGGGTTTATCCCTCAGCAGAAAAGAAAACACATAAAACATAGAGCTGTTTCTGTAGAGCAACTTGTCAGAGACTACAAACGCACTCAATGCCAGAGCCAATCAACGTAGTCTAACTAACAAAGGGATTTCCAAAAACTGGCCACTGTGATGTTGCACTCTGCCTCCACAGTGCCAGCTACAAGCACTGCATGGCCCCTGACCTCCAGGCAATTGACAGCATCCAAGGAGTAGCTTGCTGCAGACACAATTCCAGATGCTTTGCTGGCTAGCAGGAAAGACCAGAGCGGCTCTTTTCTAAGCCTATGAATCTATCATTTATGATCCTACCTTATAAAGGGAAGATGTGAATATGCCCTTCATATGTCGTATGTGAAAAACAGACCTCAAGGCCAGGCTTTGGGAGGTAGAGGCAGAAGGCCTGGGAGTTTGAGAGCAGCTTGGGTTACTTGAGACCCTATCTCCAAAACTAAAAAAGCCAACTTCAAAAGCTCAGCGCACCATCTTCAAAAGGACACTGTGGAAATCCAAGGCTGATGATTTACGTGTGCTTTCAAAGACTGCACATGCTTCCCACTTCACCAGAGGCATTAACACACACCTGAATTTTGACAGGTAAATGATGGCTCAATGTTCATAACTGATATTTCCTCCCCACCCACATATCCCAGCAACCAGAGAGCGTAAAAGATATCAGCAAGAAAAACTGAAGTCATACAGCTAAAATTTACTACCAGCAGCCAGCTTTAATACTGGGGAAGGCCATGATTTAGGATGCTGACTGACTGACTGAAGAGAAGAGTTAATCAGATAAAAGACACATATTCTAATTTAGACATCCAGACCAAAAGACCAAAGCTAGACAGACTGTCTAGCTGTCAGAACATGAAGACAATACCAGGGAAGGCCTGAGGAGATGTGAAAGGTTCCGATGCTTACAAAGAACTCTTCTAAAGTTGGGTTTCTCAGCTCCCCTGTAATAAACCAAATCTAGGACATTTGTTTAAGAAACAAACTCAAAGGATGGAGAGCTGGCTAAGAGATTAATAGCACTGGCTGCTCTTCTAAAGGTCCTGAGTTCCATTCCCACAACCACATGGTGGTGCACATCCATCTAAAATGAGATCTGGTGCCCTCTGCTGGAGTGCATGTGTACATGCAGGCAGAAAACCGTATACACGATAAATCAATCAATCTTAAAAACAAAAACAAAAAAGGAACAAACTCAAACACAAGGCCCTAACCCAAACCTACCTGACCAGAAACCTCCCTTCAGGTAGTCTATCTAGTCAAGAAGCACTTTAAAGGCTTCAGTGTGAAGGAGTCGGAGAAGCGCTGCACGGAAGCCCCAGTAATTGACTTTGGCATCTGAATGGGTATCAGCAGAGAAGAGGTGATGACAGAATGTATCTATTTTCAATGGTCCCTCATAAGGCATTAAAATCACAATAAAAGGGGATTTATTTTCTAAAGGAACCAATGAGGCTGGAATACAGCTCAGCAGCAGAGGCCCTAGGTTTAATACCTAGCATTAAACAAATCAAAAACGACGACAAAAAAAAAAATGGAGATCTTTCTCTCCCTCCCTCTCTCTCTCTCTCTCTCTCTCTCACATACACACACACACACACACACACACTGGGGGGGGCTGACAAAGCGGAACACTGAAGGCAGGTGTGCCAGTGATCTGTAACTACAGAGAGAAAAAGGCTGAACACTTGGCAGTAGAGAGGATTCCCACAAAAGAAATTTAGAAAAAGCTCACAAAAGCAGAGGTCCCCGGAACCTAGGGAAGACAGGGAGCAGGAGAGACTGCCTCATGACTGGCTGAAAGTCTGTAAGAAACAGATCCCTCCTCCCCGTCCTCCACACTACCAGGCAGGAGACTGCTGAACCAAAGAGCCCCGAAGGGATCGGCCAGTCACACCTAAGGACAAGAGGGCCACACCGAGAAGAGAGTGAGCGGTCAGGGCAGCCAGCTGACTCGGTGGGTAAAGGTCCTTCCAGCCACAGAGATCTGAGGAGAGCACGGACTCCCGCAAACTGTGGCTTCCATATTCCCACATCATGCACATATATGCACGTGTGAGTACATAAGCACATACGCACATGTACACACACACTGAGTAAATAAATATGTGTAACAAAAATTTTAAATTATATACTATTGATCAAGCAATGGTTGCTTGTGGTGACACATGCCTGTTATCATCCCAGCACTCTGGAGACAGAAGGATCATGAATTTAGAACCAACTGGGGCTACACACCAAGACTGCTCTCAAAAAAACAAAACAGCAAGAACAAAAACAAAAAACAACCCATAATAATAATGGGGTTGGAGAGTTGGCTTAGCAGTTAAGAACATTTGCTGAGGGCTGGAGAGATAGCTCGGCGGTTAAGAGCACTGTCTGCTCTTCCAAAGGTCCTGAGTTCAATTCCCAGCAACCACATGGTGGCTCACAACCATCTATAGTAAGATCTGATGTCCTGTGCTGGCCTGAGGCACACATGCAGGCAGAATACTGTATATATAGTAAATAAATCTTAAAAAAAAAAAATCTAAAAAAAACCCAAAACATTTGCTGAGCCAGGCACAGTGGTGCATGCCTGTAATGCCAGCACTTGGGGAGGCAGAGACAGGTGGATCTCTGTGAGCCCAGCCTGGTCCAGTGAGTCCAGAACAGCAAAGGCTACACAGAGAAACCCTGTGTAGAAAGCCTGGTCTCAGAAAAGAAAACAAAAAGAAAGAAAGAAAGAAAAAAGAACACTTGCTGCTTTCCCACAGGACCCAGGCCTGGTTCCCAGCAGCCACATGTCCACTTGCTGTAAGTGGTTCAGAGAGTCCAGAGCCTTCTTCTGGCGGAGGCAGAGGCAGAGGCAGAGGCAGAGGCAGAGGCAGAGGCAGAGGCAGAGGCAGAGGCAGAGGCAGAGGCAGAGGCAG